ATAAAAGCGGTCAAAGACACAAAGCCTCTGCTACGCAGCATCTGGAGTTTGGATGCCACAAAGATCCAAGTACTGCCAGTGCAAGTACACTTTCAAAATTCGTGAGACCCAAGTACTATACCAGTCAATTCTTTTCTCTCATTCAGTTCAAATATCTTAGAGATGTGTTCTTCTGGCGATGATACAAATGACCCAGCTTGCACCATGTAATGTTTCATCCGACCCTCGTGACTCGGAGTGAGTTCCTTTGGATCCGGTCGACGCAGTCTCCGCAGCCTTCGGTCCGCGTCCCGAGCTCCGGGGCTCCCCGGCGGAACCCATCCTCCGCTTCCACCGTGGCTTTCGCGGCCAAGAGCCGCTCGAGGACCTCCACGTTGCCATTTTCGGCCGCATAGTGGAGAGGTCTGTGGCCTTGGGACCCGCGCGTGGAGAGAGGCATTTGAGTGGACAAAAAGAGGTCGAGAACTGCCGGGTCTTTGTCCCATCTTTCCTGGAGAATCCTGGGTGAAAATACCAGTGAAGACCACTGTGAAGACCCTATACTTCGGTACAAACAAAAATGAACAGCGCGCTAGCACAGCTGATGCTGACTTCTTTTTGCTGTCGCTCCGGGGCTCTGGGGTAACTTTGGCATTCAACACAGACAGGGATGCGCTGCATTGTTTCTCATGATTCTGGTTGTCGTGGGCTGCCATTGGACGGCTTTCAAACGTATGGCCTTTGGAAGCTTATCTTCTTCGTGCTATCTTCTCCCTGTCTGCCAATGCTGAAAGCATCCTTCTCCCTAATCAGATCCCCCAAAACACTTCATCTCGTGAATCCTGTGGATCCATGTGGCTTTTCGGGGCAGGTCAAAGCGGACGACCTTTCCCCACCTCTCATGGTTTCAGGTAGTTGATGAAAAGCGGTCAAAGACACAAAGCCTCTGCTGCGCAGCATCTGGAGTTTGGATGCCACAGTACACTTTCAAGATTAATGAGACCCAAGTACTATAGCAGTCAGTTCTTTTCTCTCATTCAGTTCAAATATCTTAGAGATTTGTTCTTTCTGGTGACGATATAAACGACCCAGCTTGCACCATGAAACGCTTCATCCGACCCTCGTGACTCGGAGTGAGTCCCTTTGGATCCGGTGGACGCAGTCTCCGCACCCTTCGGTCCGCGTCCCGAGCTCCAGGGCTCCCCGGCCGCTCCTATCCTCTGCCTCCACCGTGGCTTTCGCGGCCAAGAGCCGCTCGAGAACCTCCACGCGGCCCATTAAGGCCGCAAGGTGGAGAGGTCTGTGGCCTCGGGACGCGCGCGGAGAGAGGCATTTGAGTGGTCAAAAAGAGGTCGAGAACTGCTGGGTCTTTGTCCCATCTTCTCTTGGAGAATCCTCGGTGAAAATACCAGTGAAGAACAGCGCGCTAGCACAGCTAATGCTGTTGCTCCGGGGCCAGGTGTCGGATGAGCTCTGAACTTGCTTGTGGGGCAACTTTCGCATTCAACACAGACAGGGATGCGCTGCATTGTTTTTCATGATTCTGGTTGTAGTGGTCATTGTCATTCTGACAAGATGTGACAAGTGATAAGTGATGGCTCGCAGAATACTTTGCGGGACTGCCTTGATGTCATCCTAACATGTTCCGCCACAGGTCAACAAATCTCGCCTGATCATACCAGGTGACATCCATCCCTTCGATTGCGCAGTTGCTGGTGTCACGCAGCTACCGCCAACAGCTTGAGCGATGCTACAATCCCCTCGTAGGGGCTTCCACTGCATGCTTTCCCTGACATGCCAGGTGTAGTGAGTGTAGTGCAACTTGCGCATTCACAAACTGAGACAGGGACGCGTTGGGTTGTTTCTCATGATTCTACTTGTTGTAGGTGAAACCTGCTGCTGCAACCCTTTTCTCAAGTGGCCAAGGTGGGAAGGCTGAGTGATATGCATCCCACACCCTTCGGAGTCTCCAAGGCCCCCTGGCGATAATCAGTCCGGTCCTGGAGTTCGACATCTGCTCCCGCTTCGATGAGGCGTTGCACCTCCGCCGCATCGCCCTGCTGAGCCGCTCGGTGCAGGGCTGAACGACCTGAGACACGGGCTGGGCGCGACTGAAGACCTCTTGAGCATCGTCGAGCCCTTCCGATCCGACCGGGTGAGACGTGGAACTTCTTTGGTCTAACACCCGATGCCTAAGTTGTTTGATTGCAAGAGCCCCATGTTGAGGAAAAAAAAGGCGACACACACCAAATTCTCAGGCTGCCGTGTGTGTGTAAACGACAGAAAAGTGACTGAAGACTTTGGGAGATCTGAAGACCACTCTTTGAACAAATAGTTAAGTGACTTAAAGTGTTCAAGTTCAATCCTTTTCAAAGTGTATAAGAGTCTTCACGCTGATCGAGCAGGCAGGCACAAAAACAACGGCTACTGTGCACTTTCAAGCAACAGAAGCCTCTAGGATATACCAATAAATCATGCGTCGAACCAATTCAACAGCCCAACCCAACAGATTCAAATGCCCATTGGGAATGGACTGAGCTCCTCGCCTTCCTCATCAAGGTCCTTGCCGCTGAGTTTTGTCAGGCCGTTCTGTGGTGATTTGCTGATAATGCAACGACACATAACGACACCATCTCCAGCAGCTGTC